CTCCTTTCTGGCAATCTTTCTTCTTCTTTTCTAGGCCGGATGCATTCAGTCTACTCTAGCCGAAGATATGCCTCTAGCTTTCTGATTACAATTCTTGTCACGATTCAAGTAAAGTTGGCGTTCAATCTTTACCGTTCAGGACATTGGGAGCATGTTAAATATATCAATTATTTAATATATTTAATATTATATATTATACTTATGGTTGTTACCTATTATAATTAGAGTTATTATTATATAATAGAGAGCGTCTAAAATGACACCAGTTACTTATACACCAATTGCTTACACCAGTTTGTTTGGGGTACCCACGGTGCTCCGTTTGTAAAAACGACGGTTCCTATCCCCCCTAACCCTTCCCCTAAACCCCCCAGGCAGTGTACTGCCAGGGTAGGGAGGGGGCCGGGAGGGGGGGTTGGGGTGGGAGGGCAATTGTGGGGCTGGGGTAGGGGGTTTAGGGGGAGGGTTAGGGGGTAGAACCGTCGTTTTTACAAACGGAGCACCGTGGGTACCCCAAACGAACTGGTGTAAGCAAATGACACTAGTAGCACTGATGTCATTTTAGACTTACCGTATATAATATTACCTTATATATAACTAGCCATTAATGTGGAGGATTCTAGAATATATTTCTCCACCTATAAATACATACTTTGTATTCCTCTCTTATTTATTCAATCAATAAAGCGTTCTTTATTATTTTTACAGTTCTCTTGTGATTGATTGTGTAATTCTTACGGTGATTTAGTGGTAGGGTTGTGTTACACGGACGTGGGCCCCACAGACGTAGGAGAGTTGCTCTGAACTGCGTAAACAATTTTCATGTGCTATTTACTGCTTTTACTTTATATTCTGCGTGTGTGCTTGTGACAGAGAAGTTATTATAAAACTCTGTCTGTCATCTGTTACTATGACAGTACTGCAGTATCTTCTCTACAGTATAGTTGTTTGATCTGTTTGCGTAGATTTCATTTGGTGATTTTTCGCTGGACCCCCACGAAGTTACACTTCCATGTATAGGAGTAGAGATCCATAGTAAATATTTACCCCCTTGTATTTACAGTTGATTATTATTGAATTACTTCATTCTTGAGGGAGTATATTGCAGGGCTAAAAGAAACAAGATAATGTTTATACAGTGTTTGTGCGGGACTGTTCTTTTCTGCCTCTTCTTGTTTAAATTTGAGGTTTGATTAGTGAGGTTTTATAGCGTTCCAAAAAGAAAAATATAAAATATTACAATGTGAAATGAATTAATTTAATGCTCGGTACGTATGTTCCTTTATAATTTTGTAATATTTCATAATCATGTTTCTTTAATCTGTATTAACTTTTAGTTTCTTAATTATTAATTTATTTTATTTTAAATGTTTGTAACTGAGTACGTATATATTTATTTTAATCAATAAATAATTAATTTTCAACTACACTTTATAAAATTAATTTATACATACAATGCATTTTTGTTGAACGATGTGGTGCTTGTGAAAGTGTGATTTATTCATTTTGCCTACTTAGCAACCAAATACTCCCTCCTTTATCAAGAACAATTACTCATTCATTTTTTCAACTTTCAACTAAATTAAAACACTTCCACTTTCTATTAAAAAACTACTTTTACCCTTATTTTTTCATACCTTTATTTAACTACAATTCAACTACAATTTAACACTTTCTTATTTTTACACTTGGTCAAAATTGGAGCTCTTTTCTAGAATAGATAGAGTAATAAGTTAACTAAAGTGGTATAATTATTATGGAGTTATTATTTTATTGTATAAAGTATGTTGTGAGATTATTTTTGTGTATCGTGATATTAGTGGTTATGTAATTATGTCAATTTTCCTTTTAACTAAGTTTAGTAAATAATACTGCTCTCTTATCAACTATTTTTAGAACATTGAGTAGTGCATGCAAATTAAGAAATATTTCAAAAACAATTTACTCCGATATTACTGATGTTGATTATTTGTATAGTATTCTTTACATCGATTTGATGTTAAATTAAAATTAGAATAATTTCAATCAATTATCGCAAAGCGCTACGAGAACTTAGGGATTGGAGTATTATCGATAGGGGCGAGACTAAATCTTGAACTTCTTGGACTAAAATTGTGCATTTGTATACTTATTTTTCTACTTTATTGAACAATAAATAATTGATACTCCCTCCGTTTGAAAAAAGTGTTCTTCTTTTGACTTTGTGTAAAAATAAGAAAGTATTAAACTGTAGTTGACTTCCAATTTTGCCCTTGATGTGATAGGTAAAAGTAAGATGTGATAGATAGATTATTAGAGATAAAGTATGATGTGATAGGTAGGGTATGAAAAAGGTAAGGGTAAAAGTGGTTTTTTAATAGAAAGTGGAAGTGTTTTGTTGGAAGTAAAAAAAATGAAAGAGAAAGTATTTTTGAGAACGGATGGAGTAATTCTTTTAAACAAAGAAAGCAAAGTATTTATATGAGGCGGAACCAATATATTGAAGTTCGTTATTGAATAAATTAAAGTAGTTCCTTTTACAAATGTTTGGCAAAACGGCGACGGCGAGAATCATCCCGAGGACTAAAAGAACATTCACGTACGGCTTTGAGAAGACAGATAACGGCGAACCAGACGGCGACGGAGACGACGAAAAGTTGTCGTGGGGAAGAATTGGGGCATTGTTGTATGGGTAAATTTGGGGCTGCAATTGTAGAGACATTTTGTTTATTTTATATTTTGAAATTTCTTTTTTCTCTAAACTAAGTACAATTCTATCGTCTATTTATAGAGTTTAATTCCTCTTCATATTTAGAAATACAATTTACTTTCTTAACTTTATACTTCCCAATATTTATTTAATTTGTCATATACATACTTAGGACCTGTTTGTTTCAACCTCTTAATGGTTCAGATGTCTGAATGGTTCAGACTGTTTGTTTCAGCCTCTTAATGGTTCAGACATTTGCCTCTGAATGGTTAAGTATTATACAGAGTCTGAATGATTAAGACTTCTTATCTGAATTGATCAGAGATTTGTCTTTGAATATTTAAGCAATATACTAGCTCTTAATGGTTCAGACCTCTTACTGGTTTAGCACTTAATGGTTCAGACCTCTTACTCGTTCAGCACTTATCTATTCAGAAGTTGCCAAACAGCCCTTAGATTACTTATTACACAAATTGAAGCCCCCTTCAACTTGCTTTAGAAGTTGCCTACTCCGTATTATTCAAAACATTCCATTAAATTACAAATTGCAATATATTCACAAAATAATTTTCTACCAAGTATATTATTACACTCTTTGTCTCTCTAAGTTTTACATGTTTGAATTAGGGTGTTTGGTGGAAGTTATTTTTAATTTAATTTATATTAATATTGGTATAAAAATTAAAAATATATAAAAGTTTATGTAGTACTTAAAATCATTTCCAAAGATCTATAAAAGTGGTGATGACAAGACTATTATACTCCATATTATCAAATAAATCAATGAAAAGAGGTAAAAATAGAGCAAACGATCCATATATGTAAAAAAAATAGGATAAGTGAGACAAAATTTTTCTTGCAGTGCCATACAGAGCTACTTAATCTGTTTCTACTCGAATTATTTATTGAAACGGAGTAGCGAACTCCGTGTCAGGTTTTTTATTTTGAATCAAACCCATACGGAGTTAGCTACTCCGTTCCGGTCTAAATTAATATATACCAGACGGAGTAAGCTACTTTGTCTCCCATAAAAAATCCTGCCCATCCGTCTCCTTTCGAGAACGCACCCCCCATCCACCCATTATCCATCCATCCCACACGGAAACAAAAAAAAGAAAAAGAAACCGGAGGAGGATGATCAGAGGAAGACCACCGGACGGCGATCGGACTACGCTAGCTACTCCGTTTCATGGAGGTACTTTCTTTTTTTGAGTTAATAATTTATATAAACATTTATCATTTTATGATAATATTGAGATATATATACTTTAATTTTATAAATTTGAGATTCATAAATCTATTTTCTCATAAATTATATCGAATTTATACCAAGTTCATGATTTTTTTTCTAATTGTTATATATTATTACTTTCAAAGATTTTTAATTTGATTCTTATAATAGATTTAAGAATCTTCAGAAGAGAAAGAGGACATATCTTCAGATGAAGGAGATGATGACAATGACGTTTGGGCGATGCCACATTTACAAGATATCCAGAGACGCGAAACGTATAGATCTTTGCAACCAATGTTCCACGTACCAATTTTTGAGGTTGGTAAAACCTATCCTTCTTTTCAAAGTTTACAACAAGCCGTGTTCTTACGCAACATTGCGGAGCATAAACACTTTCGCACAGAAGCGAAACAGAATCGTTACTAGAGATCTAGTTGCGTATATACTCCCCAATGCACTTGGTTCATCCAAGCCGCAGAAAATACAGGGACTGTTCTATGGACCATAAAGCAATGCCAGGGGTACCATCAGTGTAGACCAGATTACACACGAGCTAGGGACGATAAATTGTTAACAAGTGAACTCATAAGTACCTTGATAGGTCTAAAAATTAAGAAGATGCTAACTATAAAGTGAAACTCATTATCAAGGATGTTTATGAGTTGTTCCAGATCTTTGTGCCATACAAGAGGCATGGTGTGCACAGTTATTAGCCACCCAACGATTGTATGGTAGTTGAGAAGGGTCGTACAACAAGTTGGCTCCTTTGCTCCGTGCCATTATGGGGTCAAACTATGGGACTGTTGATTTGCAAACACAATCAACTAATTCACCAGCTACTTTTGAGTTTTGATATGTATTCAAAATGTTAAGTAAAATTAAAGATGTAATGGATATTAGTATAAAAATAATTTTAATATATTTAACTTGTTTAGAATTTTCAGAAATTTATTTCATTGTGTTAATATGCAATACAAGTTGTGTAACACCCCAATCCGTATAACCCGGAATTACACGAATTAAGGTGAAACGAGAGTTAAATAAAAATTTCGCTTGACATTTGAAAATGACAATTACTTATAAATATTAAATTTATAGACTCTGGATCGCGACCCATTTAAAAAAATATTTTCAAAGTAATGCGGAAGTACAATAATAATCAAATCATGACACATTTGAAAATCTGATGATCAACATTTGCCTGCCATCCTTGCATCTCCTCTGACTCAATGCCCTCCGGGAAAGGTTCCATCATTGTCTTCTTGTTACCTACGTGTAGTCAACGAAAAATACAAACTACACGCTCAGCGAAACCGCTGAGTGGTACCACGCTAGAATTGTAGAACGATTCATAGACATATACATATACATATATATACGTCCACAAAATGTATAAAAATATTCATGATATGGCACATTATATCATATGTTCAATTTGATGATTTATGATGGTGGATATTTAATGATGATTACCTGATGGCATATTTAATCAATATAATTATTCTTGATGATGATTACATGACACTTATGTAATCAATATAATTGTTCTTCATGATGATTTCATGTGTGAATACATTAGTTATATTAACAAGAACTACTACTAATGTACTGTGGATACATTAGTTACATGAACTACTACTATTGTACTAAAGTGTAAATTAGTTAAACTAACAAGAACTACTACTAATGTACTGTGGATACATTAGTTACATGAACTACTACTATTGTACTACGTACTTGGATTTGCACGAAGGACGACCCTTGTGCTATGAGATTCGCCCAGGTTGTACGACGAACTCACGCCACCTTAGTCTCACGAATGAGGTGAGACTAGAAAAATGGGGGTGGTACTCGAAAGCCTGAATACCATGTACGTACACTAAGCCCGGAACGGGTGATGTCGGACTGCTGAGTCCCGCATATCACGCTATAAGAGATACAATTACGCATGATCTCTTACGCATGCATATGATATGATATGCTACAATATGTGTGATGATATGAGTCATATGTTATGAACAATTTGTAAACAATATGAATGGATAAATATACTTTAATTTATTTGGGTGAAATCTGATAAAAATATCATTTAATTAAATTACGGGGCTCGGAACGGTCGACCGTTTAGCACGGCGGTCGACTGTGTTATATTTCAACTCGTCGGATTTCTAGATCACCGTGACGGTCGACCGTGGTTGACCGGCGGTCGACCGTTGTTGACTTGTTGGAACGGCGGCGTTCTGCTGGGCTGGCGACGGTCGACCGTTCGCCGACGGAGGTCGACCGTTTTGCTGACAGTAGTGGTCCGTTTCGAAGTTTAATATGACGGTCGACCGTTTGTGTCAACCGTTTGGGTCTGCGAATCTTTCTCTTGATATTTTGAGTGTCCAAAATACTTCTTTAAGTCTTTTAAACACCTTTTATTAATCTATACATATTGTTGGGTTGATTTCCAAAGTTTATATTTACTTATGTGTATATAAACTTTATGGATTTGGTGTATTTTGATCTCAACATATAGATGACTTATATATGCATCACATATATATTTTGGGATGGTTTCAACATATGGATTAATATATATGTTCATGTACGTATGTAATGAATGATTCGACAAGTCTAACGCAAGAGTACAGACCTGGAAATCATCGGCCGAAACCTTACGGATGAGCGGGAGTGAAAACAATATCGAAATTCACCAACTTTGTCATTCCCGTCACAATTGGACAGCCTGCGGTATTTTGAGCATATCTCCATCGTTTCTTCACGGAATCGCAAACCGTTTGATTCTGTGGATTCCTAAGACGTAAGGCTATAACTTTCGTATAGAAAGTATTTCGTTTTAACATATGTAAGATAGCGTAAATCGGATCTGAAGTCAATAGAAAGTTGCTGTCCAGAATTTCGGGTATGTCGATGAACATGATTCCGACGATTAACTCACTAACTTCAACATTCCAACGCCGAACTTTCTTTGCAATACCTTCCGGATGTTCCTAATAATTGCTAGAGAGTTTATGGTAAGTATTTGGGATGAAATAATATGAATTTTGGTGAAGAAAAACATGCCAACCCGAGGAGCTCGCCACCACTGGCGCAGTCCCGGTATTTTGGCCATATCTTCTTCGTTACTTAACGAAATCGCGAGCCGTTTGTTGGGTTGGATTCGTAACGTCCGGGGATACAACTTTGGCTCAAAAAGTATTTCGAGATAAAGGATGAAAAATTTCAGTTTTTACCTTGAAGTTGCTGCTGCGTTTTTGGACTCAAAATTTGGAAACTTTGGATGGTTTTCTTGCTCCTTCTTCTTCTTCCTTAACATACTACCATGGAGTTGGAGTTTTCTTTTCTTCTTCTTGTTGCTGCCGACAGAGAGAGGGAGAGATGGAGAGGAGAAGATGAATGTTGATGATGGTGGATGATGGTGAAGATTATGATGATGATGGTAGTGGT